ATTTGTTGAATGAGTAACTCCTGTTATTATGAGCTTCATTTGTAGCCAGTTTCCATAAAGCCTAATATTTTAGGATCAAAATTGGCAGGTCCATGTTTTGCTGAGAACACTGCATCCTTCCTTCCATTTTCCTCAATACATTTTCAAGTTCACAGTTTTAGCTGCTGTCAGCTTATTCTATAGTGCTTCTATCAGTAGTAGTCATTGAGACTTGGTGAGACATTGTGTTTCTATTTCCTCGGCCTCCCAAAGTGCTGAGATTACAGCCATGAGCCACCACACCTGGCCTATGTGTTTGTTTACCATCGGTCTTGCCCACCACCCTGCAAACTTCATGGGGACAGAGACTTTCTTAGTTTGGGTGCCCTCAGAAGCAGACCCTGAGACAAGGATTGAAGTCAAGTAGTTCATTTGGGAAATGATTCCAGGAAGCACCTGCAGGGCAGTAGAAAAGTGAGGAAGTGAGACAACCAAGAGAAGGCAGCCAATGAAGTGTTATTCAATGACTTACCACTGGAGCATATTCCCACCGGGGAGTTCTGGGACAGTGAAGAACACACACATGGAGTTGGTCCATCTGAGGGGCGAGGACGTAGGGGTATTTATCTACCAACTCTCATCAGTCAGAGGCTGAGGACTGCTTTCAAGGGGTGTTCATTTCCAGCAAAGAGATGCAGACTGGAGGTCCAGTCTACCATTAACCCCAAGGTCAACTGGAAGTTGGCCGGTGCACACTGGAGCAGTGAGGCCTCCGGCTATGGGCAGGGAACTGAGAGTGTCGGTCTTGCTCACTGACTGGGCTTTGCACATAAGACATGCTCTATTAGATTGAAGGATGAAGGAGGGAGGTATGTTATGTTGGCAAAGCAAAGATGGGTCTAAAATATCAAAGTTCAAATGTCCCTGGGGTCAAAGGGTAGGCTGAAAATATTGTTGAAGTTCTCTGACCACTCACACTGGCCCCCACCTCTGCCCTGGGAAATTCCTGAGGGCAGGGACCCTGGTATCTGTAAGCTCCCGGCAGTCAGGGCTTGGCATTCAGTGGGAGTTCCCGCCCCTTCATCCCAATGTTGTCTTTAAAAGGTCAGTTATCCACCAGAATGGCTAAAATGAAAAAGATGGGAAATGCCAAGAGATGGGGGAGGCACCACTGGGAACATGAAGATTGAAAAATTGGCATGATCTACTAAAGCTGATCACATGCCTACCTCATGATTTAGCAATTCTGTTCCCCGGTATATGCCCAAGAGAAATGAGTGCATATGTCCATCAAAAGATGTGTATGAGAATGTTCATAGAATGACTCTGAATAGCCCCATATAGACTACCCAAATGCCCAGCAACATTAGAATGGATAAAGTGTGGTCTGTTCATACAATGAAACAGAATACAGCATGAGGATGAACAAACTACCAATATATGTGACAATGCGGATCAAGCTCACAAACATTATGCCAAATACAAGAAGCTGGACACAAAATTCTATGACTGCAGAGAAGTTCAAAACCAGACCAAAGTAACCTAATATTGTTTGAAATCAGGAGAGTAGTTACCTTTGACAGGAGGAGAAAAAACTGGAAGGGAGCTTCTGGGTCTTGTTCATGTTCTGTTTCTTGACCTGGGTGCTGGTTACATAGGTGTGTCTAATTTGTAAAATTAAACGAGCTTTGTACACTTTATTCTGTATGTGCATTTTAATTCAATTTTTTTAAAAAAGACTGAGTGAAGTGGCTCACACCTGTAATCCCAGCACTTTGGGAGGCCAAGGCAGGAGGATCGCTTGAGCCCAGGATTTCGAGACCAGCCCAGGCAACATAGCAAGACCCCATCACTATAAAAAAAAAAAATCAAAAAAATTAGCTGGGCATGGTGGTATGTGCCTATAATCCCAGCTACTAGGAAGACTGAGGCAGGAGGGTCACTTGAGCCCATGAGTTTGTGAGCAGCCTGGGCAACACAACAAGACCACATCTCTACAAAACAAACAAACAAACAAAAATCAGCCAGGCATGGTGGCAGGCACCTGTGGTCCCAGCTATTTAGGAGGCTGAAGTAAGAGGATCACCTGAGCCCAGGAGGTGGAGATTGCAGTGAGCCATGATCCTGCCACTGCACTCCAGACTGGGCAACAGAGTCAGATCCCGACTCAAAAAAAAGAGGCAGCCAGTGTGACTGGGTCATAATAAAGGAGGGGGAAGGTGGTACTGTGGTCAGAATAGGGGCCCAGGGCATGAATTTTAGGATTTAGTCTGGGTGCAGCCTTTTTTTTTTTTTTTTTAAACCAGGATATAGGTTCCTGGAGAGCTCGAAAGCTGGATGAGGCATAGCACAGGGGAATGGGAAGTGTTCATCCTCATGGACTGCAAGCCTGAATACAAGGATGGGTAGGGGACATCACTTACACAAAAGGTATTGATACTGAATGTTTACCAAGTACATCCCATGCCAATCACTGCCGAATGAACAGAGCACACCTGAATACCTGCCCTTATGTAGTTTATGTCCTGGTGGGAGATGAGTTGGGGAGAATGCACCCTCTGGGCCCCAGGCTGAGATTTATTACAGGGGATATTACTCCAATATACTCAGGTACTTGGTGGCTGGGATAACATGCCCCTTTCGCTTCCATAGTCCTAGTAATTGCAGGTTGGAGGGTAGAGAGTATTCCCTTAACACATTAGTATTCTCTGCTTTGGGGTCTACCCTTGAGTTGGGAGTCTGGCCTCACAAAGAAGTACTCAAGGGGGAAGCACTCGGGGTCCTCCTCACTTACAGGAAGGCTCATATGGATATGTCCTGCCTTAGCCAATTACAAGTGGACTAGGGCTCCCCGAGATCCAGTAGATAGGAGTAAGGCATCATCTCTGGTGGTGAGTCTAGCAGGCCAGATTTTCTTTTAGTAGCCAGTGGCTGAGGGATCCTACACCCTCCAAAGTCCCAACAGGAATAGCTATGAGTATGTGCAGTAGGGATTTGAATGTGTGTGAGCTGTAGAAGGAGGACCACCAGGGAAAGGACAGAGGTGACAGGAGTATGAAGGAATGCCAGACTTAACAGAGATGCCCTGCAAAGAAACAAAGACAGCCAGAACCAGAGCAAGTCTCCTATTCCCATCTGCCAAACTGTGAGAGAGCCAGAGTGAGAGACCCTGATGCAAGGAGGTAGCCTATTCAGAGAAAGAAAGGTGGGGAGAAAGACTTCTTGCCTGAGAGACACAGAAAGACAGAGAGAAGGGGATAGGGAGAGAAACAGACACACACGCACATACACAGAGATGTGTATCTTGAGTTAAAGACCATCCAGATCTGAGGCAGAAGGGAACATAAAGGCACCTAGGCAGCGTAGTAGTTCACGCCTGTAATCTCAACACTTTGAAAGGCTGAGGCGGGAGGATCGCTTGAGCCCAGAAGTTCAAGACCAGCCTGGGCGGCATAGTGAGACCTGGTCTCTACAAAAAAGCAAAAAATTCGTCAAGCATGATGGCATGTGCCTGCAGTCCCAGCTACTTGGGAGGCTGAGACAGGAAGATCACTTGAGACCAGGAGGTTGAGGCTACAGTGAGCCGGGATTGCACCACTGCACTCCCGCCTGGGTAACAGAGTGAGACCTGTTTTAAAAAAAAAAAAAAAAAAAGGGGAACCCCC